TAACTGTAGAAATATTTGGTTAAAATGCAAATTCCAAAAATCATGAAACATGTTTGAAGATTAATTTAAGATGGAAAGTATCTGCCCCTAACTAGCCTTCCTGAAATCATATTACTCAGTGTACATCATAGTTCATATTCTACATGGCAACCAATCTCAATTCTTCACACTTTAAATATCATACATATAAATATTAATATGGCTACATCATCTCATTACTAGAAAAGGGAGGTTTATATTGTGGGGGAAATATCTGCTTATTTCCATGGGGCAGCTCAAACCCCTCTTAAGGAATAGGTGGCCTTCATCTCAATTGGAGAACGGGTGCTTTGCATTTTTCCCAACTAAAGTCCTGCTTCTATGTAACTATTAAGGCAGGGGTGTCGAATTCACTTCATCATGGTGGCATCACATGATGTATTGAGATTTTTTTCCCCCCTTCACTAAACTGGGCGTGGGTGTGTCCAGAACATGATGCATCTGGCCCATGGGCTGGGAGTTTGACAGCCCTGTATTAAGGTATGTGTGAGGTGATAACACTGTCTCACTGAGATGAGGTAATGCAATTTACTTTGATGGAAATTTATCTAGTAATGTAGTATCCGGCTCAAGGAGTTAGAACAGACATTCGTGCATGTACAGCCCGTGTACAGGATTCTCTTTTGACTATTAGACAACAGCTACTGATGCAAAGCAACACAACAGCTTTGCTGGGGGGGGGAGGGGGGAAGAATCACAATGCATGGTAAAGTCGTACTAAGAGGTGCTTCATTCATACATTAAGCAAAACATAGTAACACACTTGCTTCTTCAAAGCTTTGCAGTTCTAAAAATTGTTACTAGTGCTGAATTCAAGCTAACTTTGATGAGTTCAGTTAATCCCATTAAACAAAAATAATCCAAATCATAACTAGCGCACTAGCTTAAGGTGCTGAGAAAAGCAATCTCTCTGTCTTAACATAAGTGAATTATTCACTTCAAATCATTCTCACCCCAAATGCTTTAAAAAGTCCTGCATGAAATCTCAGAGGTAATCAGATTAAGGATAACTCAGTGAGTTTGAAAGAAAAAAAACGCTCTGGAATAATGATAATTTATGTTCTTATTATTTGATACTTTCTAGCATTTATCTGCATCAATGATTCATTATGTTGACTTTGCAATGTGAAAAACTGTGTTTTCAGAAAATCAGTTAATTTCACAGTAGAAGAGATATAATTTGATAATAGTTTTAGAAAAAAAATAATGCAATTGCCTTATCTCACTGACATTTTACAAGAATCCATACCTTGCCATTTTCTATTTATAACTGTCTTGTATTTTGCCATGCTTTTTACTTTTTGATCATCAGAAAATAAAGTTATGAAAAGAAGGAAATTCTGCAATCATTCATTTAGTAGTTTCAAGAAATAGCATATGCAATAATAAATTATTAAAGTTGCCGTCCAGCTCTCAATTATTTTGAGCAATTTACAGCAATTAAATTACAATAAAATCAGTAAAATATAAAGATGTTATGTTCAGAAATTGTATAGTAATTGATAGATTTGTTGTTATTGTTACAAAACATATTGGCAAAAATTTAATACCTGTGCCAAGTACTGATAGTTAATAATAGCTTAAACATACACAATTTAGAATCATAGAATTTGAGAGACTAGGTTATTAAGACCAATCCCTTGCCCAGGACAGGAATCTAAATTAAATAATCAGAGATACAGTTATAGCTTCCCAGTCTTTGCTTGAAGATGGCTTACCACCTCTTTCTATGATTGATTCCACTGTCTGCTGCTCTTAACCCTGGGATTTTTTAAAACATTTGTTTCAAATATTTTAACAAATTCTGAAATAAGAAAATAGATCTTGATATTTTATGTTACATCTTTCCAGGTATTTGAAAACTGCTTTCATATCTCATTTCAGTAATATTTTCTCAGTGCAAACCATAGTCAGTCTTTCACCTGTCTTCTTAGGACTTAATTACTAATAATCCTCTTTGCCATTCTTGGAATCTACTCCAATTTTTCGGTATCATTTCTAAAGTGTGTCCAGTGTCCAGAAAAAATATATAGCCACTCCTACACCCTCATCCATTTTCAGCACTATTTGCATATATGAGTATAGGTATACCAATGAAAACATGTAATTATCAACTAACAGTCATTGATTCAAGCAAGTCTGCATAGAAAAAGCACAAATACTGGGTACAATTAAGGAAAATTAAGTATTTGTTTTACTGTTTATCTTAACCAGAAAGCAATGATCACATGTTCAATTTTTAAAGAATTTAAATTAAATTAAATTAAATTAAAGAATTTAAACATGCATGGATTGTGCACATCATTTAGAAGAATATTATGAATACAGTACTATAATGAGTGACAGAAACACATTAATCAAGTGGGTGACTTTAAGCTAATCAGTATCTTGCAATCTAATCTATTTTATCGGGTTATTGTGAGGATAAAATGAATAAAATAAAAATAAATAAAATAAAAAGACTTCCATTCATACACATATTACTTTATTGGGAGAAAGCAAGAGATAAATACAAATACATTCATTTTCAGCTAGATTTTTATTTCTTCTCAGTGTAGAGTGTTCTGCACACAGAAAATGAGTATGTTGTGAAGCATAAAAATGCGAGAAGAACCCTTTTAATTATCCCTCGGTATGCAAAATATTACAATCGAACCATTGGATTCTATTCTGCAGCAAAAATGGAGAGGTTCCTTAATATGACAGATGCTGAACTCTTAGACTCTTAGCAAGACTACTGTATGCACAAAAATGGAAAGAGTTTGATTCCCACCATAGACAAATGGTTACAGAAGTTAATGGAGCTGCAGAGATGGCTAAGTTGACTGGTTTGATTAAAGAAAAGAAGATAAGTACTTTTGTTGTTATATGGACACTGCTTCTGGACTTTGTGCTTGATGTGGGAAAAAAATGAAACTTTGATTTTAGATATTAGATTGATTTGTTGTTATAGAAATAGCTACTTTATATTGTTTTGGAAAAGTAAGATGTTGAGGTTCGATGTTAATGCTTTATTCTACTGCAATGGAGAGAGTTGAAAGTCAATGATATTTTTTATTTTCTCCTTCCCACCCACTTTTCTTTCTCCTTTTCCTCCCCACTGTGTCCTATTACTTGCTTTCATATTTTTGTATTTTATTCTATAATCTAATAAAAATGTTTTTTTTAAGTATTCTTGGGCTCTAGAGCTTTAGCAAATAACAGCACAGGCAGCTTTCAGGAATTGTTAGCGCTCCAGAGACTGGCAGGGCAGCACAGTCAAAGTGTTCAACTCGTAATTCCTTATCTCCATGGACAACTGCGCAGTCTAGACCTTCAGCCTGAAGTCTACGGAGATTCTCAGTCATCCTGGTCATGGTTGTCTCAAAGATGCTTTGTTAAGAGGCAACTGGACTTTCTGGTTTTTCTTTGAATACGTTTAGCTTCTCATCCAAGAAAAGCTTCTTCAGCTCTTTTTGGACGAGAAGCAAAACGTCTTCAAAGAAAAACCAGAAGGTCCAGTTGCCACTTAAAAAAGCAACTTTGAGACTTCAGCCTGAAGGCAACTTTCACCATTCGGAAATGTTCTCTAGCACAGGGGTCGCCAACCTTTTGGACCTCAGGGGCCAAAAAACTCATAATTTTAGATCCCAGGGACCACTAACTGGTTCTGTGGGGTGTGGCCTAATTTGTGGGTGTGGGTTGGTGGTCATGTGACTGGCTGGGCATGGCTTGTATGTAAATATTATAAATATATATATATTGAATTTTTTATAAAAAAGAGCAACTTTTACCCAAAATCAGGCAAAGCAGGCAGATTGAGTTGCTCACAGAATCACAGATTCATTCAGAGATCTATCTATTCAGAGATCTGCCATTGGCTAGCTCAGTCTGTCACATAAAATTTGCTTGCAAGCAAACTCATAAAATTAACTCACAACACACCATGCATGTCAATATCAATTTTTTTATTAAAAAAAGCAACTTTTACCCCAAATCAGGCAAAGCAGGCAGATTGAGTTGCTCACAGAATCATCCAGTGGTCTATCTATCTATCTATCTGCCATTGGCTAGCTCAATCTCTCAAATTTGCTTGCCATGAGTCTGCACTGAATTTGCTTGCAAGCAAACCTTCAATCCTAAGGGAGGTTTGGCTGTGCTGAGCCGAAGATCTAAAGACTAACTAGAAAGCAAGAAATCCAACCATTTCCTGCTTCCTAGCTAATCTAAATCTCCGGCATAGCAGAACAGATGATGGTCGGAAAAAGGAAAAATACCAATTTAAGGGGCAAGTTTACCAGGTAAGGAGTGAGTGGCCAGGGAGGGTTCCCATGGGCGGCGCAGCCTTGTGTTTCTGCGCAGCTTGGATTAATTGCTTTGTGGGGGTGCTCTGGGGGTGAGATTTCTCTTTGGCCCACCAAAATTTACTCACAGCCCACCAGTTGGTGACCGCTGCTCTGGCAAAGGGGTCTCCACTCCACTGAGCAACTTTGAGCCTGGCGGACTTCAACTCCCAGAATTCCCCAGCCAGTTTTGCTGACTGGGGAATTCTGGGAGTTGAAGTCTGCCAGGCTTAAAGTTGCGAGGGTTGGAGACCCCTGCAAGTCTAGCACAGGGGTCTCCAACCTGGGCGATTTTTAGAGTTATGGGCTTCAATTCCCAGAGTTCCTAAGTCCATAAGTCTTAAAGTTGCCAAGGTTAGAGACGCCTGCGGTAGCACCTCCCTGCCCTCCCTCAGCCAGCGGCTCTCGAAGCGCCTGGCTGCGACTCTCGCACGAGGCGCTCGCATTCCCAGAGGCCTTGGCGCCCCCGTTTCCCCCCTCCTCCCTCCGCACGCGCTCAAGCGCAGCGACGGCAAACAGTCGCTAGACAACGGAGGGGCGCCGCTTCCATAGCGATCATTATAGACAGGGAGGCCGTGACCCGGCTGTCGCGCGGTTTGCCTTCAAGTCTCGCGAGAGCCGCGGCCTTCCTGCCTTTGAGAGGCCATCTGGGGCGCCTTCCCGCCGGGCTGGCATGGAGGGAGGCGATGGCTGCGGGGAGCGTCTGTTCTCGTTGGAGCTGCTGGTGGAGTCAGCGCGAGTGCAACCGCGGCTGCTGCCGTCGCTGCTGCCGGACAGCGGGCCCTTCCTGCCGTCCGTGGCTCTCCGGCTGCTCGACTTCCCGACCCTTCTGGTCCACGCCCCGCAGGCCACGTCCTGGCCGGTGGTGCCCTTCGGGCGGGGCAAGTCGTGCCTCTTCAAGCTGCGGCCGGACGCTCTGAAGGGCCTCTTGCGGCGCTCTCCGCTCCACGCGCTGCTGCTGGCCCTGCCTCCCAACCAGGGTCCCGCCCGCCTGCTCGGCTCGTCCAGCATCTCTCTGGCGGCCGCCGCCGAGGAGTTGTTGCCTGGCTCCGGGCCGGCGACTGGAAGGGGCCACTTCCCGGTGCGCGACCTCCTGGGAGAACCAGTGGGGGAGCTGGCGCTGAGCTACCGCCTCCACAGCCTGGGCTCCTCGCCCCTCGATCAGTTCGATGAAGGGGGGGCGGTGGACGAAGGCCTCGCTGGAGACGGTCCGCGGGGGAGAGCGGCGGAACGGAGGCTCAGTCTGGAGTTCATCTCGGAAGGAGAGGAGGAGCAGGACCCTGCCCCAGACGGTGGCAGCCGGGGGTCCTTAAGCAGCCCTGATCCAGAGCCGGAGCCCTTTTCCGATAGCTCAAGCGGAGAAGAAATCGCAGGAGAGCTGGACAACAATGCCTTTTATCCCCCACCAATGTATTACAGTCATCAAACGGAAAGTTGCTTCCCCAGCCCTAAAGCAGCAACAAGAGTGATAATCATGACAGCTCAAGATTCACTTCCCAAAGAAGAAACTTCTTTACCTTTTGTTAAGGGGGAGCCTGCCGTTAGTGCTGAGAAGGCTCTGTCACCCTTACTCACCAACACACCAACACCGGGTACTTCCGAACAACTCAGGCAGACACTATGTCAGTTGCCTCTACTGAATGCTTTGCTGGTAGAACTCTCCTTGCTAAATAGCCAGCCCCTACCACCAGGACCCTCTACTGTGCATCCTCAGTTGGCATGGCTATATCAAAATGCAGAAGAAGGTACAAAAATCTTACCCTGTAATGGTAAGAATCTGTGTGCCTGCTGGGATGATAAGAAGAACACCCCACATCGCAAAGAAAGAGGAAGATCACCTAGCCCTAAATTAAAAAGAAATCGCCCAGATCCTTTAAAAGGCATGTCTCTTATCTGTCCTGGCAAATCTTTTACAAAACCAGTATACACTGAAAGACCTGTAAGCCCTGAAAAAGTTAATCCGAAAGAAAATTCTCCCAATAGAAGGAAATTCTCTAATGGGCTGACGAATACATTAAAGCTTCGTGTTCAGCGATCTAGTCCGGGAATGTTGAAGGTTCATGAAAAGAGAGAACATCGTAGGAAAAAAAATGGTGACATATCGTTTGAAAAAAAAGGTAAAAGCTCTTTGACTAAAGAAAAAATATTCAAGGGCTCCCTTAACTATCATCCAAAATCTTTTGGACAATATGATGAAAAAAGCATCTCTGATCAAAATGCTCAAATTAATGAAAATGTTGAGACTTTAATACAAAGCAGTGTTGGCCGAAATAGCTCTATGACCACAAAGAAAATAAGCTCTCGTATTACCAAAAAATTTGGGGCCAGCTGTGTGAAGAATAAAGACAATGCCAAAGGGAAGTACTTGTCTGAAAGTGTTGATTTGAAGAGCTTGGAAGTCCATCTGCCAAGAGTCTTTTTACAGGACACTGAAGCCCTTGAAAACCCAGGAGATGCTGAGATAGAAAAATGTTTGCAACGTGATTGTAACATTCCATATATATTTAAAGATAGACGCACCAATAACTTGGAAAAGAGTCATGAACGTCAGAATTCAGATAGTTTAGTAGTTACTTCTGAAAATGCAGCCTATTCAGAAGATTTTACCAGTATTGACAGTTGTGGTGCAAGCTTTGAAGCTCCAGAGAACAGTCCTGAACCTTTATCTATAAGCTCAGATCACAGTCAGTCAGGCATTGACTCCAGCTCTAAAAATTCCAGAAGTCTTCCTGCTAAATGTATTTCACCTCTTCTTCCGAAGGTTTCAGCTATATCTCCTGTTCAGACTCTTAAAAAGACATATGACTTAAAATCTAACAAAAACAAATTAGGCACTGGATTGAACAAATTTGATGATGATTGCCTTGCAAGAACTTTAAGAGACCAACTTGTAATTCAAGAAAAGCAAAAGCAAAAAGTTACACAGATTTTTGAGGACAAACAAATACAGCCTGATAAAAAGTGTAACATAGTAAAAAGCCAGTCATCTGTAGAAAACAGCCATTCTGCAAGGACATCTCAAGTTAGCTCTTACTTGCCCTCTAGTATATCTGACCTTGAATTTAGTGGTCTAGAAGAAAGCAAAACACCTGGCAATGAAAAAGAGGATAGCTTCGGAAAGATGAATAATACAAATCAGTGTAAACATATCAGTGAATTACTAATAAACAAGCTTCCAGGATACACAATGTAGCAATCAATAGTAATGGTAAAATCGAAGAGAAAATAATGTTTTATAAGAAAAGATTTAAAGGAATTTTGACTTTTTTAAAACAAGTATAGGTTTTTTTAGGATGCACAGATATTTTTTCAGATTAATGCACAACTCAGACTTTTCAGCTCTGTGCTGGTTATTTTTGGTTGGTTATTTTTTTTCCTTAGTTTTAGCTGTCTCCAGATCTTCCACATTCTGTGATTTAGCTGCCCCTGAAATTCAAGGGCAGTTTTCATATGATGTAAAGGTCTCCTGTTCATATAAAATCTATTCTCATTGAGCATAGGAAATGATCTAGCGTGCGTAAAGTAATTGTCCAATTTGTAATTTGTCTCTTAATTATTGTTTCAAACTAATAATAAAACAAAAAATAACTAATGGTCACTAGAAAACAAGTAAACTATAATTGATTATAGACTACTTAAGACAATAATTCTTAAGCAAACCAGGGTTTTTATGTAGTTTGGAATTTAAGAGAGTTATAGCTATCAGCAAAGGAAAAATTGTTCAGTAAAATACATACTTTAAAAAAACAAGGTTTCCACAAAAAAAGCAAATTTCCAGAACATGATTTGAAAAATACTAGTTACTTCAAATGCAATGCCCAGTTATATGTTAATCTTAACAGAGTTATTTTTCCTATAATATTATTCTGATCTGTGGTAATAACATTAATTTTAAGTTTAGCTTCATAATTTTTAAATTTTAGATCCAAACCTAATGCTTCCTGGGTTTTTTAGCACTTTGTCATAATTGTTGTGTCTTCAGTTTGCACTATTTTCAGGTAATTGCACCTATTGTTAATTTGTATAACATGTTTTGTATAACATGATTGAATCCTATCTATGAAATGGTATGTCTGCAGAAAATTAAAAAAAAAATTATGAACACAGTCATGCATTCTCAAAATATACATTAGTAATATTTAGCACTTAAGAAATATTTTTTAGAAGTAGAGAAAAATGATACATTAACCTTAGCATATATTCAGTAGCTTCAAGGAAAAGTCAATCATTTTTCTTTTTTATAGCAGGTGTAAAAATGGCATAGCATAAAGGGAAGCCAATATAGACATGAATTTTTGTCTGGTGCTAGTGATTAAAGATGCAGGTTAAAGTTCCCAACTAAATTGAATCAACTTCCAGAAAACATGGGATTAATACATTAATACTCTTGATACATTAACCTTGTTGTGCCCTGTATGCAGATAAGTGCATATCCAAGTATAAAGCAACCAAATGAAGTGTTTACTAATTATATTAGTAGGTAAAGGGGATCTTTCAATACCAGTACTGTACAGAATGCTGGTGTTCTTATACAGAAGTAAAATATGAATTCATGCTAGGAACATTGCTCAGTTTTGGCTTTTTGGCCAGATACATTTTTGATATTAAAAAAAGAGAGCGATAAACTTTCAAAATATGTCTTTCTAAACAATTTAGAAAAATTAGCTAGTTCACAACTTATAGTACTTAGGTAGTAAAAGGATAATAATATGAATGTATTGTTTATAATTCATGCAAAAAAATTGTTCTCGTTTCTTTTGAAGAATTTGCTAGGTATACTGGTCCTAAAAAGTAGTGATCAAATCTTTGGTAAGAGCAAATCACTCTTGCCTGTTATCTTAGCAGGTTAAAGATAATGAATCACCAGAAAGTGTTTTTCGCTTGCATGATGCCATAGACTTCCCTTAGCCATCTTGGATAGCAAATATAAAAGGATATCAGTGGCTGAAAAACTCCGTCCTTGTGATTATGGAGAGGTGAAAACCTCTGGACATATCCTTCTTCACTGCTCTTTTTATACAGACGTTGGAGCAAAATTTATTTTCTAGATAATAAGTAACCTGACTGTTCCAACACCAATTACCTTCAGTTTAAAGACCAACAGATTGTAGACATTAGGTAGGTAGGTAGGTTCTGCGCAGCAGCACTAAACTTGGCTGGAACCTGATGAATAATCCATTATAACATTCAATTAATACACCATTTTTATATTATCCTGTTTAGTACCTAATAACTATAGGCCTTTACAATTTAAGAACTAATATTACAGTATGCCTTTGTCTGTGTGTAACTGATAGGCTGCCAAATTATGATTTCAACATAGATTTTATTTGTTGTTATTTTATTCCAGAATTTTTAAGTAGATACTCTGAGCATTTTTAATTGTATTGGTATTTGAATGGTAAGAACAAGAATTGTACAGTAACAGCTTGTTATCTCTCACACCTTTCCAATTATTGTTCTGCTATTGTTATTTAAATCAAAAGACAAAATCATATGAATATGCTACACTTTATACCTAAGTTACTAAGATGGAGTCAGTATGGAATATAACATTGGATTCCCATTTTGATTTCCAACATTTCGGCGTTGTGTCTATTGCAGGATGGCAGAATTGGCATTTGTCCCGAAGTTATTTATGTTGTGCCAAGGGAAAAATTGCATGTCAGAATTCACTTGCATTGAAACAATGAACTAATGTTGGCTTTAGCTGCCGATTTCCAGATTATGATAGAAACCAAGCCAGAGGACCAGTAGTTGCTTCCTTGTATTAAAATGTTGTGAGATGGCATTTTTGTTTAGACCTTTTTAAGTAGATATAAGTAGGAACGCTTCGTATGAGCATTCATACGAAGTGTCAGTTTTCACTATAGAAGGAATCTAAATTAAACTTCCCTATTTATGTTTGGCCTTTTGCATAAAATCTGGTGATAGAACAGTTTGGTTTTATCTTATGGTATTATATAATATATTCCTCCACTCCAGTCCATTTCCATGATGAACGTTTTTTTGATTAAGAAAGTTTATATTTCTTGTGATTTTTGTTAATTAAAGCAAAGCAGTAATGTTTGATATGTTACTGAGTTTGCTTTAATCTATTAAAAATTTAAAATGACTTGCTGATGTTTCTGCTATCTTGTGCATATACATTGTGCTATGAACCAAGTAACATTGATCATTTAAATATTTTGTTACTGTGTGCTGAAAATCATGATTTATTATGCTGCAACCCATTTTATGAAATCTCATGCTAGTATAAAGAATTCCGAGAGAGTTTAAAGGATTGTTGGAAAAGATTAGGCAGGAAATCCCTCTTTCAAAAACAGTACTCAAGTTAGGATCCAAGATTCCAAATATAAAAGCATTTCAGATTACATTACAACTATGCAAGAGAAATGCATTTCATCAAGTGTTTAGCTGTGCCCCTTAGTTATTTTGGCATTCTATACAGTTTCTGTAATTACCAGTTTCTATGTTAGGAGATGGGGAAGCATAATCCAGAGAAAACTGATTAACTGAGTGCTTTGATTCCCCAAGTATGGCATTTTAAAGACAGTGTAAAGTTTAAACCACAATTGAAGATAGATCCTGCCTCTAGTCTGATGTAGTATTTAAGATGTTGTATTAGGAGTGGATAAATATCAACCATTATGCTGTGGAAATCTCTGAGTGGCCTTAGATCAATCACTATTGCTTTGCCCAGTCTGTCTCACAATGCTGTTGTGGTGATGCAGGTACATAGTTTTGAGGGGGGGGGGGGAAATGTTTCCCCTTTCAGAAGTTCTGAGATTTTGCATACATGAAACATTTCACTATATTTTAGTTCTGAGGAAAACTGAAGCTCCAAAATTGTACGCAGTCTCAACCAGGCCAGTTTGAGTCAGAAAATTGGAAGGCTCTCCAATGGCTCCACATTAAATTCCTAATTTATTTTATTACTATGACAGTCAAAAAGTGAAACCACAAATTTATTGGAGGTAGTACTCAACTTACAACCATAGTTGGGATCAGAATTTCCATTCCAAGTAGTGATCACACAACCCTGGGACACTGAAACTGCCAAATACTTGCCAGTTGGCAAGCATCTGAAATTGGATGACGATAGTTGTAAGGGGGCAGGTTGTAAGTTTTTCAGTGCCATTGAAACTGAACAGTCACTAAACAAATGGTTCTAAGTCAAGTTACTATTTTCTAAGTTACTATTTTCATATGGCCTAAACACAATTACATAACAAATGTTTTGCTAATATCCAATAAAAAAGAGAAATTTTATTAGCAGAGGAAGAGAAGGAAGATTGTAAAGTGCCTTTATGATGTTGCACACAGGATATAATTACTCTCAGCCAGTCCTTGAGTATTGAAGATTTATCCTGAAATGAATACAAACTCCAGCTCCTTTGTAGTGCAATGGTGGTTTCTTCATTAGCTCAGCAAACAACAAATATTCTCTGACAAGAAAGGCTAAAAGCCAGACAAAGTTAGAGTTGGGTTTGAGTTTGCTCCCTTTCCTTTTATTACCATTATCATGGGACACACCCCACCACACCCAGGCCTATACTCAGTTCTAATTCTGGCCACGCCTAACTCTATCCCCAAAATGCCATTAACCCTATAACATGTCTACATCCCTACTCTATTCTGACCCTCACTAACTGATGCCCACCTAGTGCCACCTTCACCATGTTTTAACCTAAGGCTTAATTACCACCTATATGTGCCCCAACTCCCTTTAACAATATGCACCACATCAATACATGAAAAGAGCCACTTCCAGCAGCCCCGCAGTTGTTTCAGAATTCATCCTCAGCTCTGCTGAGTCATTCCAAAGCCATCAGCCAGCACACAAGCAAAAATACAGATCCAGCGGCAGCAGAGATAAGGTGACATGGCCAGCTGACTTGCTGTGAGGCATATTCGGAGCTGACGGACTCCGAGTAAAATCGGAGCCCGACAGTTACCAAGTTACTATTTTTAATTAACAAGATGGAATTTCTGCCAGGACTTCATGATTCTCCCCCCTTTAATGGCCTTTTAAAAGAATTAATGCACAATCATGAATGGGGTCATGATCACATTGAACCTTTTACAAACTATGAGAGCCATAGGACCAGAAAAATGAATGAATAAATTCAAACATATCCACACTCATGGCAAACATTTCACTTTTGTCAGTGGCCAGCTATGGTTTTCATGACGTCTGAGGGAAAGACATGAAAGCAGTCCTCCATTTATCCTTTTTTTTACTACCATCCATTATTTCTGAAATTTAACTTATTACAAATGTGTAGTATGTTGAATGTTTTTCATTTGTCAACTTTCTTTCATGTCACTTCAAATGATTTGCCATCAATATTCAGCAGTGTGGTCCCTCTAAAAATTGATGGCAACACATGCACTGTCTCAGTGGTGAATGAGGAGGAGGTTGCATCCAAAATTATTGGTTTATGAGGCAGAAGTGGCCTCCCTGTATTTTAAAGTAGTCTAAATAAGATGACATTAAACTTCTGTTTTTAATTGATGTTATGCACCATTATAGAGGTACAATATTTATTGATACAACTTGCTTAGATGTAAGTTGCAGAATTGGCCATTGTAGTTTGGCATCATTAGAATTGGTTTAAAATATCTGTCATTCTTCAACTGCTTCAGTCAGGTCCCTGAAAGTTTGCTCTTGGAATCTGTACAGCCCATGCTTTGATTTGTGAGAAAAACACTTGCAACTAATTGCCCTTTTCTTTTTAATATATCACAAAGCCTGGTAGAGAAAGCTTCTTGCTATCATCTGCAATTACAGTTGCTTTTGGCCACAATTCAGAATAAAAAATGTATTCAATTATAGAAATTGTATTTAAAACTGCATTCAGCTCTAGAAGATACGAAAAGCAAAGACAAGATTAAAGCAAAATTTTACAAGAAATGAAATCTGCAACAATAATATAGCAAGCTGTAAGCCATGTAACATAATTATTTTAACTTCCATGTGCCAAAGTAATTTCCGAATATGCGTATTTGTTGTTGAAGGTCATATTATATTTGATTTACAAATTGGCAGCATTACATTGTTTGACATTTATAAAATTGGATTTTTCCCAGAGAAAATAGTAGGTTGTAATAATTATTATAATGTTCTTAAAATTTAAAATTGATACTCTTTATTGTTTATGTGCTTATATTACTGTAATGTGCTCTTACAGGTAATCAATATATTTTATATTTTCAATCATATAAATCAGGGGTAGTCAACAGCACAATCTGCAGTAGAATATGATGATGCCAAGATGGCGATACACATAGACAGCTTCATCACACAAATGCCACCATGATGTACTTGTACCCCGGAGATCCATTGCAAGTATGTGATGATGCTGTCATGAGCACTTCATCATTTGCCCCATGATGCCCCTTTTGCCCCATGATGGCAACCTTTGACCTCACAGCCTTAGCTTCAGCCTTTAGGGATCACACTGATCAAAGTACATTTTAGTACTATGGTTGGATGTTGTGGGGGGAGGGGTTTGCTACTTTTAAAAATAAGCATTAAAATAGGCATATTAATCATCCAGTACACTTAGAATGCTTATGTCACTAGAATAATAACCCCCCAAAATATTCTGTCAAAGGGTGAAGATTCTTATCCCGCCATTTTGAGTAGTAGTTCTGTTAATATCCACAAAAGTCCTTTACCCAAGAGACTCTTTTACAGAGAAATGTCCTCTTTGGCTATAAAATATTCTCTCTTGCTAAAGGATGTGATGTGTGTACATAGCAAACACCCATGAATCAACTGTGGCTTAGATATTTTAACAGCTGGTTTAATAAATTAATGCTTTATAATTAGATTTTTTTTTATTATAAGTGGATGTATTGCTTTGCTTCCTTGCAGGGTTTTTGCCTTTAAATGAGTGGAAGAAATATTTTAGATGATATAACTAGAACATTTCTCAAGTTTTGAGAAAAGAAATACATCTTTCTTAGCCAAGAGGTTAAGAGTTGCCTCTCTATGTGAGATTCCAATCATGTATGCTACTCTTCCTCACCTGATACCCACCTGTGTGCTGAACTTCCACAGCATCTCTAGCATCTAAAAGGAGAAGCTGCATTGATGCTCTCCTTATTGGTAAAAAAAACAACAACCAACAAACAGAAATAGCCAGGCAAACAGCCAGGAATATATTGTTCCTGAATGTAATGAATCAATTGGGAGGTTTGCAAAAGCAATCTTTGTGCTCCCTTGACAAACCAAAGAGATTATTTACACACCAGCTGTATCACTGCAATATGCATTCACGGTACAACTTTTCCATTTTTCCTGCCATATGGGACTTACTGAGGAAACACAAGGACTGTCTAAAGTATTTCTGATAGCACAGAAGAAGCACAAAGAAGGAAACTGTAATCGACAGGAATTTGCAGACAACAAAGTTTCATAAGGGATTCATCATTTGCAGATATGCTAATAAAACTTAATTGAAATTTCATTCCAATATAAACAACTGCTGGAATAACAGATGGTTTGTTACTGTTATGTTCACAAAGTGGTTTGAATCCCATCCTATAACCAGCAACCTGAAGAAGAGGCATTCTTAGCAGATATTTTAAAAATTGGAACTAGAATGCTTAAATGCTGAAAACAATACTTTAATAACTTAATTAACCTAGTAAAGTGACTAGGGAAGGAGGAACTCACAAGGGATTCTCTTAAAGCAGTAAATGTTTATTAATGATAGTAACATTCTTATGGCTTTATAAAATACATTTGGATAGTTGTCTTTCAATTCTATTATCAAAGAGTTTCCTTGGTTCTAAAGATTTGTACCAAGTCACTAAGTTTTCCAGAACAGATAAACAAGTGTGACTAAGCTCATGTATCATTCTAATATATAATAATGTGGCTTGTTTGATCTTGATTCAGTGTGGCATATGATCCTAATCCCAGTAGTTTAGGGATCTTGTAAGTCATTTTTGTACCACTTAGTAGCTTATGTAAAGACAGCTAATTACAATTTGTTCAATAGTTAAATAAATTAGAATATGACATAGGTGA